CCTCTTTAGCCCCAGCTGATGTTTTATAACACCTTTCCCCTTCCCCTTCCCTACTGATGAGTCTGTCTTTTAATTGGGCCGTTTGCTGAATAACGTAGAAATGTTGAGATGAGAGGCTAGATGCTGATACCTCATCGAAGTTAAAAGGTTACAGCGTGATTTTTATCCACTTTTAAGATACATGCTGATCTAATTGTGAAAAAGAAAGCAAAAGTAGTAGCAGCAAAGCGGTGGACCCAATATAATTTTAAAAGATTTCTTTTTTCTTCTCAGTTTCTACAGGAGTCACACCAACAAAAAGTGGAACACGCATCAATCAAGTGAAAGAACTTCTCATGCTTGGCTTGATTTTACTAGCAGGACATGCAAATCTAAGAGCATGAATTTGAGCGAAGTGCCACCTTAAGTCCTCATTTCCAACGGTCCCCGCAAGAATATGACACCGCGGCTTCAGTTGGTGGGAAGAGCACGATTATTATTGATCGAGAGATTATAACAGGATCGAGAGAAAGTGTTAGGCAGCAGTGTAACTGAGCCTAAGGAACCTGCTGTATGTCTCTAAAACATACGTAAACCCATTCGTTTGAACTGTACTCGGATCCCAATACTCTGTGGTTCTAAGTGACAATCACATGTAATTTAAAATAACACAGTGATTTCCTCAGCTGTGAGTTGACTTATTTTAAAATGTCCTTTTCAATAAAATTGAGTCATGATGAATTGTATAAAATGTTTGAAATTTGGGCCTCTGTTCGTCCAGAATTTTCTGTTCAAAGTTCCGTTCGTAAAATAGAGATCAAAACAGCGTTGATGACCACCACTTGTCCATCAAGAGTTGTGCTTATTTCATTGTGCAGGAAAGTCCACTTTAAACTGAGTAAGAGATGAGAAAGAGAAACAATGGTACAAGAGAGATTAGCAGTTGATTAATTTTTGTGATAGGAAACCTTATTGTCTGTGATAATCTTTTCCCAGTTTTGTATTGTAATAGCTTGTTTTTGTTCTGCTACCGCTCGATAAGCCTTGCGTGACTGATCGCGAGTGACGCACACATCACGCAGCCTTTTAGGATCTATGCAAATCACATCGCAACGAGACGTTTTAAATTTTTGTCTGAAATTACCGTCTGCATTTTACAATGGCGATAGCTACTGGATTACCAATACTTTCAGTGGCGAATTTAATGCTGTTTGCAGGTAAGAATCGCATAGTAGATCAAATGCAACCGAATTATTCGCGTTTTTAGCGGATCTGCTCAAGATATAATTCGTCGCTCGCACAGACTGGTACGAACATGAGCAGAATTCTGATGATTGCATCTTTAAAAATAATGTTGAATTCATAGAATATTTACATTGTCGATGAATCGCTATCTGTTGAGGAGAAAAGGCAGTTTTAATACTGTACTGAAACTATGCGGGATTGCACCACGGTAATAAAACGGCACAATGGTGTCACTGTATTTATACTTTGTTTTCACTTCAAAGGCTTATAGAAAATTGATGATTTAAGATCGGAGAATTAAGGCTACTTACTTAAATATTAACTTTTTTTAAGAATTTAGTTTTACTGCATTTAACCATCAATAGAAAAGTCGATTAACTAAGTCTCATTTAAGTACAATTCGTCGAGCGGCCATTTGTCGAGCAATATCATCGGAAGTGATAACAAACCGGGCTCTTAATTCATGACGGAAAGCTATGCTGTCACGCTGTCGCTTTTTCTAAATAAAACCGAAGTGTCGGTTTTCCATCAGAATCTCCGATGCTCCGCAAAGCTCTTTATTGCATAAAGCTTCCTCCAACAGGACCTAAAGAAAAAAAATTCCGCTGTCTACAGTATACTATGTGGTGAATCATTAGTACGTTTTTCTGACACATATGTTGCATGCTTTGCAGGGTATGAATCTTAACAACGCCTGTTATGTATTCTTTTAAATAAAATTCATTTTATTTCCGTAGCTTTTGTTCGGATATGCAAAACTCGTTTTTAAAAACACTTAAATTAAAAAAAAAATCTATTATAACTCACGTGGCGTTTTTGTCCCGCAATTTACCTCAAGCAATGGAATAATTATGCGCAACGATTTTTTTCCGAGAAATTTGAAGAACGTTTATTCAATCATGACCAAGTTAAATTAGTTGATATTATAGCCGTATCATCAACGGTTTCACTTGGGAAATTTCGGTAGCAACAATGGCCCTTTCAATCGCCAGTACGGAATCAAAGGAAATCTGAATCCCCAAGAGCCTAAGAAACACCACATGAGGGACTCAGGAATTCATGTTGTCTTAAAAAAAGAGAGTTGTGCCTTTCTGAAGTTTGTATTATATCAAAAGTCCATTATGAGAAGATAAAACGACTAACATGTTTTGATAACATGTTTTGATACTCTGAATAACCCTAGGCTATTATGTTTCTTTTGTTTTCTTGGCTTTGTTAGAACCTGGTAGTCAAGTGCAACACAAAAGTTTTACTTCTATCAGATTTTTCTATTGTTTTCTCTAAAGACAGGGAGACAAAAAACGACTTCAAATATTTGGTCGAAGAATGTGTTGGTTGTTACAGAGGAACTAAAAACTGACCTGTTGTACGTAGTAATAGCTATGTGACAACCCTTTTTCTTTTTTCCAGAAACATGTACCTGGGAAAGGAATTTTTTATCTTGGTTTTTGTTTTGGTTTTTTTTTTTAAACAGCAAAGAAGTGCTCGCGCAGTATAAGGGAACTTGTAAACCAATGACAATGTCAACGATTCGCTCTCACTTCTCATCGTTACGAGAAAGGTTTCTTAGGTTCGCGAGTGAATGCTCAGGACCGTGTGACAGACCAATTGTCTTTGAATCCCTTTGGAAATGGACCCACTCTTTAAATGTTTAGTCAGCTGAGACCAATTGAACGTTTCCTTGAAAACGTCCTTACAAAACGTCCTTAGTGCTGTCATTTAATCAAGACCTACAGAAGTTTAATTTGCTGTGTTTACAAAGCATGTCTTTGATTGTATGACTTAGCAAATGATTACAGCTCATTGGTGCGAGGTCAGACGCGTTTACAATCAACTGAATTACGTCTAATTTTCACTTTGTACCTAACCGCGCCAACGTTGTCGAGTTCTTTCAGTGTGCGTCTTAGTGTGACGCGAATATTGTAGAAAGGACAAACAAAGATGACGGCGAGAAGGAAGAGTTGATACGAACGCGAAACGGAATCGTTAGAACGATCTCGAAGAGGTTCTTTGTTTTTTTTTCGGACCAGTAGACCGTGAAATCAGTGGCTGTCGATTATGTACTAGAAATCTACTTCTATCGCGGACGATTCTGGGCTAAAATGCAATTAGATCGTAGCCTTCATTCCATTTGTTTGTTTCATGCCAATGGCTCGTACCATCATAGCGTCATGTCTTTTTTTCCCTGCCATTAGATCTTCCATCATTGATAACTATATACCATCAGATCGTTCCTCTATGCCATTAAATCATACTCCATGCCATTAGATCTTACCGCCCTGTCACTGGATCATACGTCCATGCCATAAGAGACATAAGATCGTATCTTTATGCTTTTCGACTGTAACTGCATGCCACTGCAGATCGTTCCGCAATACCAGTTGTGGCATAGGGGAACGCCGGATCTAACGGCATACAGTTACGGTCTACGATCTAAGGGCATGGAGGAAAAATATAATCGGCTATGATGGCAGGATCCATTGGCATGAAGCACACAGTATAATGGAATAAAGGCTACGTTCTTATTGCATTATAGTTCAGAACCCCCCTCCATTCCTTCCCACATCCTAATTATCGTTCTTTGCGCTTGCCACTAAATTTCTCTTTCTCCACTCCGCTCTTTAGCGGGCAAGCCATGCCAATTCAGTTCTAGCGCGTATCTCTAATGTTGAACTGTTCCACAATTGTGCAGGTTAGCAGAATCTGTTTCTTTCGTTCTCTTTCCTATCCACGTGTAAGGGGGTGGATTTTTCTTTTATTCGGTTGTAGCCGATTGAGCGTTCCTGTTATTTATGTTTTTTGGCTCAGTTTATTTTAACGCATTAGTAGTTAACAATAGTCAATGAAAAGATTCTCTGTTCCAGCTAAGTATCTGGGCCAGATCATTCAGTTTTTATGTCATCAAGAGTATAGATGTCTTTGTACGTGAGTTAAACGATCTTTCGTAAATAAAAAGAAAGCAAAATATTTAACGAGGACAAAATTCAGTCCACTCGTAAAGCCGTGAATTGTTTTGGTTTCACACTATGCGCCACAGTCAGGATTACAATGATATTGTTGTTTGAGCAAGTGAACGTCGGAGCATTACGTGGTGGGTTGCTGTCCTCTGATTTGAAGTTTATTGAAAAGATGAACCATTATAGCCAAGCAGTGGGCTGAGCTAACTCGTTTCAAATCCACCTCTGCTTCAACACAGAGAAATTCTCTCATACCGATTGTTGCTTCTATTTACAAATACTTTCATTTAACTGCAGGTCTTGTTGCGTCAGCGTCCGGTACCGATGCTTTGAAGGCGACTTTTAGCATGGGTGGAATTAAGGGTGATGTAACCTTCTCTCAATCTCAAGGACAGTCTTCCTCAGTAGTTATGGTCAACTTAACAGGCGTCTCTGTGATATTAAAATGGAGCATACAACAATTACCTATGATCTATAATGGGAATGCGAACTTGAGCTGTAATGCAGGGGTAGTAGGGGATGTGTTTGACCCAAAGATGGCCAAGAAGTCTGCTGACTATGCGACCAACTGCCAACCGAACAGTGGTTTAAAATTTCAATCATGCGCAGTCGGAGATTTATCAATAATGCTCGGAGACCTGAACAGCAATAACCAAGAAGAAAATTTTTCAGACCCGAAGTTGATGATTCCAATCAGTGGTCCACATAGTGTCATAAGTAAGACCTTGGTCCTGTACGATGGTGACATGCCCAAAGCATGCGCCCTGATTGCTCCGACCCAGCCGATGAAAACATTCGTAGCTGTTTTCAAGGGTCCTGTTTCAGGCTTTGTGTACTTCAGACAAGTTGACGAGAACTCGGATACTTCTGTGTTTGTCGATCTCTTCTTTGTCAACGATGCCAATTCTAATAAAGACTTTTCGTGGCAAATTAACCAGGGCGTGGTTAGTCACGATGCTACCGATCCATCTACTTACTGCAAGAATGTTGGAGAAATGTTTAATCCAAAAAACGTGAACGATCCCAGCTGTAATAAATCTATGCATGGTAATTGCGCCATCGGTGATATGACGTCCAAACATGGACAAATCGAAGTTTCATTAGCAACCAAAATGCAGTCATCTAAAAAAGCGGCATTCACCGATATTAACCTTCCCTTAAGTGGCGATAACTCCGTCCTGGGCGAAACGCTGCTGCTGTTTCTAACGGACCCAAAACAGGCCATTGCCTGTGCGAAGATTGTACACTTAGAGCCGAAAACATTGAAAGTTTCGTTCGTTGGAAGGACTCAAGAAGGTGTAGATGGCCATTTCACGTTTAAGCAGTCCTCCCCTTTTGATGCTACAACAGCAGAGATCAAACTGACTGGGCTCAATAAAAAGGCTCAAGGGTACCACATACACGCCTACCCAAGCCCGTCGTATATGGACTTATCGCCAAATGAGTCCTGTACCGGACTTGTTGCTGGAGATCACTGGAATCCCTACAATGTCGATATTAAAACCAGTCCTCCTGCAGGCACAGGTAAATATTCCCCTGTTTGACTTTATTTTGTTCAACTACAGTAATTAAAGTATTTGCGTGAGTCAATTTCATCCGGGTAACAAGTGTGAAACAGTTGTGAAAAGCAAAAGTGGTAGTTTTCAAAGAGAAACTTGACCAATCACTTATATGAAAACCAGCATAGACAAATGTTCTTTATAAAATTCGCATAAACATCCAATTTCGATCTGAAACTTACCAAATACAATACAGCTTTCGGCTTCCTAACTTGCCTCTTCCAGTACCGCGCAGCAAATGTTTTGAGCAGAAGAGCTAAAGACGAAATCATACGCTTCAGCCAACAAGGCTGGGGACGGGGGCATGCTTAGCAGGTAAGTTTTTTACAAAAAGGGGGGAGGACTAAAGCCCCTCATAGCCCCTCCCTCTGCGTGGTCCCAGATTGTTCATGTCTATTCAACATTACACAGTAATAGACCATACGAAAAACTTAACAAAATCCCGAAAAATTAAAAAAGTGTAAAAAGTCAATTCCTCGTTGTAGTACAATGAGTAAATGTTTTATTGTCGTCTTTATATACGGAGGAACCGTAGAATTTGCATGTATGTGATTTAACCGCCGTACTAGCTACTGCTGCTGATCAGTTTCCTTATTTCCCTCAGGAACAGACGATGAGTACGAAGTTGGTGACTTAAGTGGAAAGTATGGGACCTTTTTAAACCTCTCGGCAGTTAGCAAAACGATCGTGGACTATAATCTTCCAATGTTTGGCAGAAACAGCATCCAGGGACGCTCTTTGGTCATTCACAAACTTAAGATTCAGGACAACAATATGCGCTGGGTCTGCAATAATCTCTTGCCAGTGGTAGATGAAGGCATCACCTACTTCATGAAAGCCATCGCGAATATCAGTGGACCATCAGTAAAGGGAATGGTTGTACTGGCAAGTAGTGATAGTACTTCTATAAACAGGATCAGTTCAATAACAGTTCTTCAAATTTTGGACCGAAGTAAACGTGGTGATTGCTGTACATTCAGTCACACTTTTTTCTGGTTGTGATCAATTCTCTTTCTTTTTCTAGGATCAGTACTTTTCCAGCTCACCACATGTGGCTGAGGTCGAATCCACAATTTACATTAACATCAAACACAGCCAAGATTCTAACTTAAAAACGGTAACGTTATTTACGACTGATTATATCAAAAGGGCCAGCCCGGACGTTCAAAATAGATATATGTTGGCGATGTGTCTTCTACATGAAAATAGCTTTTCATTTGTTTCGGCTCCAAAGGCTACTTTACAGCACAATGCTCATATTTTGAGAGCTCTAAGATACATTTGTTTAAATTTAATACTTTTGATATGGTTATAGTGGACCATAGTATTGCGCAAGTAACTTAACATTACTCTTAATTTCATCCAACAGAGTGGCCACCTGTGGGGAGTACATAAAAATCCTGTAGACGGAGATGCAAGTTACACCAACGTTAACGAGAGATGCATGAGTTTGGAAGGGAAATTTAATCCATACGCAGTGAAAATTCAGGTAAAATTCACTCGGCTAGTCCGTGAAACAACATCGTAGGAACTTTATTTCGCAAGTGCGCTCAGATAGAAAGCCTGCCATATGTTCATCTTCTTAGTCCCCTCATGCAGGGATGTTAAGGATGAAGAATATCATGAAATATAACAGACAATCTTAAAAAAGCTAAAATGAATATTTTAAGGTGCACAACCTGGAACGTAACTCTTACGTTTTAGCTGTGACGTGACTCTTACGTTTTTTTTTTTTTTGTTTTGCTGCCTTTGATTGCCTTTTTTTGCTTTATTACCAATATCCAGGGAGACTACTCGTCCACCTGTAGTCCAACTAACATGCTGCGCTGTGAATCCGGAGACTTATCTGGTAAACACGACCCTCTCGAAGTGGGCGGCGGCCGCGTATTTTTCAACGATGTCAATCTTCCGTTATTTGGCAGTAACTCCGGTAATAATCATGGTGTTTTCACAATTGTGGTTTGTTCTCTTTGGCTTGTAACTGCTCTAGATATACCGCTTGTAGCACCTCACTGTCAAATGGACCCTTCTGAAGTTTGATTCTAGAAAAGTAATCCTCGCTTCGCATCGTGATTAAAGGCAAACTTTGCTGGTGTTTCTCAAGCACATCAAATATGGTAAAACGCGATTAACTTGCGGTATATTGCTTTCAGTGAAGAGCTGTGTTGGCAGGCATAATAACGATAGGTTTCTTGGCAATGAGAGTGCGTGAAATACCTCATTTATATTGTAAAGAGGGATATACCAAAGTTTGAAATAGCTGGATCAGCCGTAGATATTCCCAGAGAAGATACCTCTCTACAGCATTTTGTTCTTTTAAGTTTTATGTTCTCTTACAAGGAAGCAGTGAAATTAGTGTGTTTCGTAAGACAGGTTTAATCGGTTTGATTAACAATGCCACTCGACAGAGCAGAAACGTAAAAAATTGTCAGTTCAAACTGAAAACGAGTGTAGTTTCCTCCACGACGTTCATCCTCTAATTACAAGCGTTAAAAGAAGCTGAACTAAAGTGACCACTGGCTGACCAACGTTGACGAACATTTGTTTTTGTTTTAACAAGTTGCTGGGCGTGGCATAGCTGTGAATGCTAAAGATGGAAGGAGCGACCGACTTGGTTGCGCCAATCTCTTAGTGAACAGATCTCTATATGAAGAAAAATTCCTTTTCGCGAAAGAGTCTGACTTTTCCAGGTGAGAAGAACTTCTATCTCAGGCGCAAAATTACGATTAACTATTTATCTGAGGTCCTTTTCAAAAAAGGCTATCCTAATCGTATGGTAACAATAATAGTAATAATAATAATAATAATAATAACAATGATAATAATGGTAGTATAATAACAATGATAACATTAATTGACCACTCCGCCATTGGCCTTTTCAGAGCCATACAAAAAAACTGAGAAAAAAACATATAAAGTAAACATAATGTTTAAAAATCCAAGGAGTTGAACTCGGAGCAACAGAGAAGATATCCAGTGAGTAGCATGGTGGAGGGCTTGAAGCCAGGACCACCATTGTACGGCCCACTCAAGCCACCATCCACTCTAATGGAATAAATTGTACACTTTCCGAAAGCTGAGCTCTACGAAAAAGATCTTAAAGATGGGAAATTTTAAAACACGTGCTTTGTGTCAGGTGTGGACGGTCAACATTTTGACATCGGAGCTTTTAAAAAATGTCTGCGTCATGATAACTTCTCTTTGAAATTTTTAAGCGGGATGACAAGACCTTCGTTTTAAACGTTTCTTCCGCGGGTTGTCGAGGTATAGTGTCAACAGAAATCGTTTATCCGTTTTAAATTGAAGACGGAAAACTTTTCTTGTGTTTGAAAAGAAAAGCTGTTTTCCATCTTTTCTGGCTTAGTTTAAATGGGACCTCACTATTCCGCTTTGGTGGTCAAAACGCTAATTAAATTAACTTTGTGAAACGAACGAGTATTATGTATACAGTATTTACAGTATCATTATTGTAACTGTCGGTCTGAGCTTTGATGCTATTATAAGGAATCGAGCCATAGTTGTTGAGAGTTGGCAGTTTCCTTTTTTCGTTATTAATTTTTTCTTTTATTTTTTTTCTTTCCTTGATAGCTTCCATTTTGCTGATACCATCTCTAAAGCTTTGGGAATACCAAAGTGGCGCCTTTTCATGATTCGCACAGAGAAAGCCAATAGTTCCGGGTGCATGAAAGTCAAGTTTGCAATAATCGGCAAAGGTACTTGAACCACACTCTTGTGACCTATAATGGAACGCGTTGGCCTAATCCTTAGGGAAGGGTCTTAATGGGGTTAACCGTTAGCCGTGAAACGACCAAACAATTTAGCCAGTAGGCGTAAAAATTGACAAATTTTAGCTGTTAGACGTAAAAAAAGCTAACCGTAAAAGGTTTCGTTTCACTCTAGGTTAACCAAACCTGTAAAATGATCACAATTTTAACCGTTAGCAGTAAAAGCCATCACCCCATTGAGACCTAATTGGAACCCAGTTTTAGTTAGACATACAACAGTCCTACTGATCAGATAAACTTGAGTTTACCAATTACTAGATTCGTGAACGGGACAATGAGCGTGATGCTAAACGAGTTTACTTGAAAATTTCGGAAAGGTTTTTGATGAGTCGTTAGGCTAAGATAAAACCCCACGTCATACTAGCCACGAGATATTTTTCACAAGTATTTAACATTTTTCTCAGTTATTGTCTAAATTATAGAGGGGTATTCTTATTTGAAAGCATAATGCTATTTGTTGCTTTGTGTTGCGGAACCCAAGATGTGTTTCGGCAGTAGTGTGCCTTTATAGGCTCGAAAGATTTGACCTTGTATCAGAGACAAAAAGTTTCCACGGCTGCCGACTAACTTCATAAATCGGATTCGTTTATTTGCTGACTGAACTTTCGACTTTGTGTTTAGCTTTAGACAAATTTTTAAACTTATCAACAGCTTTGGCAAGTAGCTTTGGCATTGAAGCATCATAATTCTTCTTTTCCTGATACGAAAAAGCTTTAGCAACCTCTAAGTAAGCGCTTGTTGTTGAAAAACATCGCGTATAACGTAAATCTATACCTCGAGCAAGGCCAGGTGTAATTACTGTGCAGGACGCACTGGCATACCTCCTTCACTAGATATTTAAAGGTATTATTCGTTTTCACATTGAGACTTGAAAATATACAGTCGCTGTCGAAATTTTCGAAAGCGGTGATTTCAGATCAGTTGTGGTTGACTTCAACAGCGTCACGTGCACCCATTAGCCCCAGGAATCGTTGGGATTACCTCCAAACTTTCAGCCTGAGTTCACCCCTGCACCACTTTGAGGCACCTCCCAAGAGGTGGGGATGTATACATCCCTTTGTGCTCCGTTTTCGCAGGGGAATGTTTGGATAATGCTAGGATTAAAAATATGCAAATCCACGAGGCATTTGTTGAAGAACCTTTTATGAAATTTTCATACAACCACCTAAGATATTTAACTAAAGATCTAATGGTCAACGGCAGTTTAAACGATCAATTGATTAAAGATTTAAGGATTGTTTTTACGTGCAAACAGTGGGACAAATTTACGTCAGTTTGTTGACGTCTGCTCCGAAATAGCTGAAGGTTTAGATAAGCACTACGATTGACACTTGATTATTAGTGAATCCCTTTTGAGAATGATCGTTATTTTTTGGTATTTCTTTATAGCGAATCAAGTCAGCCAACCTGTCGCAAAATTTGACGATCTCAAGCAAAAAAATCCAGAAGCGTTCAAACCCTATACTCCAACCGAGGACTGTGGTGAGTATAAAAAGACGTGGAACACGCTATGTTTGTCAGCGAGGAGTTAACGCAGGTCATAACATCCTCTATTTCTCGTCTTCTGATAATGTCTCTGTTATTGTTTCAGTTCCCTCGACAGTTCCCTCGACAAGTTCAGTTCCCTCGACAAGTGGAGCACTCGGTTATCACTCAAGCTTCGTACTGTCGATCATTATTGTGATGGTCTCTGCTTTCATGGGATGATTACGATTGACGCCAGTAATACTCGGATCATTAACCTCAAATACTCGTTGAAGCTTAGATCTCGGTGACAGCTTTTCACGGTAGAGAGCTTAGTAGTTCAATTACAGATTATTTTTTGAAAGCTAATTTCTGCATGTTACCGAGTTTTTTTCCTCTTTTGCTTTCTAACAAAATGGCCAAAGACAAGCAATTTTTGTGCAGCGTTAAGATATGATTTAAAGACCACTGAATTTGCACCAGCTTTAAACCTCACAGAACTGTAATGAATGGAATGCACCAATTACTAAATAAAATCATTGTCACCGATCAATAGCCTTGAAAGGAATTCTAAGATGTAGTTGAACATGTTTATTGGGCCATCATCCCTTTTTTGAGTGTCGCTGTTTGACGTAATTGTGGCCATGCATGGAAAAATGTACCTTTAACCTAAACGCATGCGAAAACCGCCTATTGCTCAATGACCCTTTACACCGTTACATCAGTTTTCAAATTCTCCATTCTGTTCTCTATGAATTCCCTACGGTACTTACTAGGAGAATTAGGAGCAATCACGTGCTTCTTGAGTTTGTGATAATTTCCTCTATTCTCGTAACCTTAGTGTTTGATGTAGGGCTGATACTGTTGCGAGATGTAAGATTCTTGTCACTCCTTGGGTTTGAAGGAGTAAGGAAACCTCTGAAGGACGGCTGATGGATGCTCAACGTTTATGGCCGTTTTACAGTGAAGCGTTAAGGTTCGTTTACTCTTGTAACTCAATGAATCAATTTATTTAATAAGTAACTTGGGGAGGGGAGAGGCAATCAGTTGTCGGCTGTGTAGATTCTCGAGGTCTAACTTTCACAGGAGGGGAGTAGTCGTCTTGGTAGTTTAAAAAAATTCAAGATATTTTTTTTTGCATTTATAATTCTCGGTCAAATGCGTATCCCGCAGCTGAGCTGAAGGAACCTGTAGAAGATTAGGAGACACATATTAGGCTCAGACTGAGTGACAAGCAGTCATACTGGTTTACCAAATTTGGTCGTCCTAAATCATAATCACAATTACATAGAAGTCTTAAAGTAACTAAAAGCAAAAACTTTCTCTTTTCTGATGATTGTACCACTTTCTGTAACCATTTGCTGTCTGTGCACGTGTTTTATTCTTTCACGTAGTTGTTATCACGTGAACTAACGTTATGCTTGTGACTGCAATTCTTCCTTCTCATTGGGTCATTATGCAACAAATAGTACTCGTGAGAACCTTTCAGAACCGGTCAGGCATTTCACCAAGAGAAGACTGTGTGGCAATTTTTCTCGACATAATAGACTCACCGGTTATCCTGATTTCCTTGCTGGTAAGTTAAAACGAATAATACAACTATAGTACATATATTAGTCTTATCCTATCTGATACATATATAATTAAGGACATGGAGTGCTCAAAATCCATTATTATTTCGATTACAACAAGCGTAACCCGATGTGTTTGTTGACTCGTGCGGCAATAAGCCAGAGTATATGAATATACAAGGGCTAAATGACAAACATTTGATTGCATCTCGGTCAGGAAAATCTCAAAGGAGTGACATGTAGAGCTTTGGCCCCGAAAAAAATTCGCAGCATGCGTCCTACGGAGGCGCTATATTTCTGTCATCAGTGTCATCTATGCTCGAATTTCAATTACGAAAACAAAATAAATCTTGCCCTGGAATCACTTGGCACGATCTCATCATGGAGGCGCAAGTCTTCGATCGATCGGCTGAGCTTTCTTTGGTTACGGGATCCAGTCTCGACCCCAAAAAGTACTGGTATGTGCTAACGAAAAGTTAGCAGATAGATTCGCGAGGTCTCAACATATAATCCTGTTGTTGTTGCGGCAAATCAAATCGCTCTCGACCGTACACTCCAGGCGGGAAATGCCTCCAGTCGAAAAATAATGGGAAATTGCAAAGATGTCCGTCAAGAATAGCCGAGCTTAACAACGACATTCGGGAACTAATAGAGGATAATGATTATATAAGTTAACGGTGGATGCCTCAACTTTCAGTCGAAAGAAAGAGTCCACACATAGAGCGGTCTCGTGATATAAATTAATGTGAATTCAATTTTTCGTGCCCTCTTGGGTAGTGTATACCTAAGGCTTACTTTCAATCTCTCCTATACACTCTTGGGTAATGTATACCTGAGGGTTATTTTTAATCTCTCCTATACACTCTTGGGTAATGTATACCTGAGGCAGGGGTTTCAATAGAAGGCGGCTACCGGCGATAGACCGCCGGGTACTTCACTCCAACCCGCCGCCTACTTGGAGAGGTTTATATCCGGCAAACACTGAACGCAAGCATGCCTTTCCTGTTGTGACCTTCCTATCGAATTCTTAAATAAACTGGCTTCAGTAATGTAGGAAAAAATCACACATTCACCACAAACACAAACTTACTCTTTTTCACTTCGTTTACAAACGCTTAACAGTTGACAGCAGAAGAGGAGTTTGCCATTCGCGGGGACAAAAAAAACAAACGTCACGCTCAGTCTCTCTCTCTTGCTGTGTTAGGCGTTGCTGCTAAATTACAATTTGCCACCGCTCTCTGTTATTTTACCGACCAGGAACTTGTTGTACGAATCATAAAGTGTGAAAAATAATAAATTTGTCCACGAAATCTGGTGTTGCGTGCAACAAAAATAACACATCAGTTTCAGTCGCGTATCTTGCGCGGGAGTCTGTGCAGCTGTTACATAAGAATTGCGCGTGACATTGCATATGATCACAAAGCACGCCTTAATAAGGGTTTGCCGGAATGGCGAAGAGACAAGGCGTCCTCGAAAATTATTTTCTCAAAGAAATCTAAAGGTGAGTTATTATTTACAGTTCATTACAGATATGGAGGTTAATAGAGTGAGAAATTTGCATTTCAAAAGAAATAATTGAACCCTAACGACCACACAACACGATGTCCCGACGACCTTTGTATACAATGAGCTGAATGAAGTCAAACGCCATTTAGTTTTCCTTTTTGGATGGGAAATTTCATTTCCACCGAATAGACGTCTGGTTATACGATCAACATTTTGATAACAATAGGCTTTTTAACATGTTTAAATACTAGTTATACAAAATAACATGGAACAATAAATTTGCTGTCTGATGTTCAGGTTGTCTTTTCAACAAGTCGATTCAATTAAATAAATAATTTGCCATCTCTTACAGCAAACATACAGTTTAAAATTCCTTGGCACAGTATACTTACTGCAAGAAGTGCTTCCAATTCTTAGCCACTTGAGCAAAACTTTTCAAAAAAGAGAAATTTGTCTGGCATCCATTGCTTCAGCGATTGAGTACACAGTTGATCGTCTCGATGATGTTGGTCATCAGCGTAAACACTTGGCAAGATTGAAGGAAGATTTGTCAGAGAATGGTGAACTTCAAATATGAGACCTACCAAGCGTGACGCCCCACATGGAGGAGCAGCTTAACAGTTTAACAACAAAATATGTAGATGCCTTAAAAGAGAACATTTAGAATCGATTTGATGGAAACCTTAAGGTCCTCACCGCCTTCAAGGTCTTTGACCCAACTGCTGTTCCCAAGAGAGGCGAAGCTGGCTTTAAGCGGTATGGCGTGGCAGATGTTGAATTTCTAGGAGACTTCTTCTATCAAGATCAGGAGGATAAGGATTCAAAGAAAGAAGAGCTCTTATGTGAGTGGGCAAAGTTCAAGTACAATCTTTTAGGCCTACAAAGCCAGCTCCCTCCAGAGAAAGCACGACCAAACGTAGCCAAGACACCTTGCAAATGTAAAACACCAACCGAGTGGTTACTGGAGCATATGCTCAGCATGCAGTTGACTTATCAGCATCTTTGCTCTTGCCTTTTAGAACTGGCAGAAGTATGTCTGTCACTGCCAGTTAGCAATGCCTGGCCCGAGCGAGGGGCATCTTGCATTAAAAGGCTAAAAAACCCGTCTCCGCTCAACCCTGAAAAATGACATGCTGGAAGCTTTGATGCATGTTGCAATCAATGGCCATGATCTAAGTCAATGCCAGTCCTTGATTCATGTGGTAGCTAAGCAGTGGCTCGCCAAACCCCGACGACATTTGGCAAAAATTCCCGCCAGAGATAAACTGCCAGTGCAGGTTACAACTACTGCA